ATTGGAACCCAACTTCCTTGCATCGAGTACCACTTGTAGGTCTGTGCAGGTGCCGTGTACCGGTACTGTATAGAAGATAAAGCTCTAATATGTTGTTTTGATTCAATTTTAAAATAAATTATATAGTAATAATCAACCAATTATGTATTTTTACGGTTTTAATTTGAGTGAATCACTAAGACAAAATCATAGGGAAGGGAAAAAGTTGTACCTTAAGATTCCCCCGGGTTACAGGTACGATAGTTCGTTTAGGGACACCAGCCCAATGCCACGTTAAGACCACCACGGCAAACAATTACCGCCCACCAGCGACGCCGGGAAATGAACTGAGCTCCACAATTATTATTTTATTATTATTATAGCAGTTTTAGCGTTTATTAGGCCGGAGGCCTGTTGCCGATTCTCAACATCGCTGAACATCCACAGCTTCTTGCGGTCTCGAACTCGCAACTCACTGCCACAACACTGCTGAGCTCAACCGCCCGGCCTCCTCGCCGATTCTGACCAGAAACTGGCGCACAGAGCTGAGATCGAACCCGCGCCTCTCTGCGCCAATCTTGGTACTCTGAACTTTTACCNTATTAAAAGTTTAGTGACGCTCATCGCGAGTGTGCACAATGCTTATACGTGCAGGCTCCAGACGCTCGTTGTTCGAGGGAGTAAAACACGATAAAGATGTGGTAATTTGGACTCATATAATACAAATATTTTTTGCATTGGACTAATAAGTTGAGTTTTATTTTTAATAACTCACAGATACCACAGTCGTACTTTTTTATTGATGTAAGGTTTGTTATTAGCTACTCGCGCCGGGGGCGGCTCTGAATCACCCTAAAAACAGTCTCAACATTTGACTGAACAGCATCAGTTGAAAAAGTTATCGTGTCAAAGTCAAAACAAATTGCTATCTCGCCTTTCTCACTGGATAAGAGTACCACCTACACAGGAATCGCATTGACTGCAATGAGCTGCACACTCCACTTGCATCGCCACACCGCCCCATCTACCGTCTAGATTGGGATCGCCAATTTGTACACCTGACCAAAGAGCAAAATTAAGCCCGTATCCCCATATAACTCACGAATGAAGGCAAAATTAAAAAAAATCACGAACATCACCGATAGGTCTTAATGAATGCGTGTACCAAGTTTCATCGAGTTACGTTCATTATTTTGGGAGATATTGCTTGATCATTGGAATTTGGAGACCGGCCTCAAGCCCTGCCGTAAATTTGTCCGAGACGTGGGAATAGGCCTGGTGTGGCCTGTCACCGATTCCTGTACTTTTCGTGACTTGTTCACATGAGATCTAAGTGGTTACAGTTCAGAACACAGAAGTGGTTACAGGCCCAGTGGTTACAGTTCAGAGTACCAAGATTGGAGCAGAGAGGCGCGGGTTCGATCCCAGCTCTGTGCGCCAGTTTCTGGTCAGAATCGGCAAGAAGGCCGGGCGGAAGCAACGCAGGATTGAAGCAGTGAGTTGCGTGTTTGAGACAGCAACAAGCTGTGAATATTCTACGATGTTAAGAATCGGCGACAGGCCTACGGCCTAATGAACGCTCAAACCGCTATTATTATTATTAAAAACAGATCATTTGACTGGATCATGAGTAGAGAAGATAGTTGTCAGTTCGAAACATGAAACCAGCAGTGAAATTTCTGGTCGAGATCGGTAAGGTAGCCGGGTGGCTAAGAATATTCAACAGGCAAAGAAGGCCTAAACAAATGTGACACCAACATTTATTTGACAGTTGAGTGACGTGACCACGATCAAAACTTGCGTGTGTAATCAGCTGTTGCTGTTAGTGTGTAAACATCCATCGCTAAGGGAGGTATCAACTACCTAGTACAAGATGAAGTTTTTCGGATCGTTTCTGAATGAACGAATTAAGTCCTTCGCAAATTTTGTTACTGTAAGTGACTCTTCTTATGATTTTCTAGATTCGTGGTAGATAATTTTGTTTATTGCATTTTCTTGGCTCAAAAATCCCACCCAAAATACTACTAAATAGCGCGTTGGTTCAGTCTCTGACTCTCTGCCTCAGACCTCAGTTGTCCCATTGGCATTTGGCCCTTGGGCAGTTAGGAATTCTGATTTCTGATTGAGACTTTTGAGTCCTGAGACGGCACGGCGTAGGCCTGAGTGGGGACTTGACTCACTTGATTCTTGAGTAGCACATTTAGAAGCATGTTTCCCAGTCAATTGTTGAGATTTTTAGAGCTAAATGAAATTCTATTTTCTCAATTTTTTTCTTCTGCTTTTTTGAATATTTTTTTTGATGGCTAAATATTCTTGAAAATAGGAGAAATTTCTGTAAATAATTCAGCAGCAAGAGCAGCCCATCAGTGTAGATTGTAGAATGTAGAATACTGGGCAGTGGGCACTGAGATTTTTTAAAACATTTTTAATTAAAATGATTGTTTTACAGATGATATTTGAAAATAGCAGGCAAAATTATGCAATTTTCCCCAATTTGCATAGAAAAAAGAAAGAGCTATAAAAATATTTGAAATTGTCCACATGTAGCCTATTGGAAATTTGTCATTATGGAGTCATTGATATTTGATGATTGAGACTCATTTTTGCTTTCTTGGATCATCTGAGTAATCTGATTAGCATCCCAAGACCAAAATAAAGAAAAAGAATACATTTTACCATGTTGTTTACTTATTACTCAGTCAATTTACATATATGAATACAATTTTGATTTTTGAACATACATGATCTTGTTAGATTATAATCTTATAATATTGGATTTATCACTATCAGAGTTATCTTTCATTATACAGGAGATACAAAAAATTTGTCACTGTAAAATGGGTGAATTAGACCATTTTTTGCCTCTAACTTTTTGTGATACAAGTAGTCACATAGAAAATATATCTATAGTGCAGTTGTAGATTATCTCATGGTACTTCAAGAGCCACCAACACAATTTTTCTGAGGCAAGAATTTTTTGAGTTTTAGGGTTTCTTTTTCTTGAATGTCTAAATGGTTGCAAGTCATCCCATTTTACAGTAATATTTTACATAAAAATGTTGTTGCATTTCTTGTTATGGTTGTTCCCGTGCTCTTCTGACAATAGATTTGTTTATTATTAATGAAATTTCATTATTAATAGTTAATTATAATTATAAGACAATTATTAATTCAGTGGGCCTCCTGTGCAGTGGGTCATGAGTCGCTGCTCCAGCGTGATGGTGGCCGTGACGGTGTTTGTGCTGCTGCTGCTCATTTCATTCTGGCTGGCCCTCTTCTTGCACCTCATCCTCGTCCAAGTCTTCTTACCAACACAAAGTTTCTCTTGGCCTGTACACTTTGAATTTGAGTAAGTATTTGTTGTCCTCAAGTTATTGGTTGAAAAATCCACACCATTTAAATATTTGAATATATCAACATTACCTATCTAAAATCTTACAAATTAAAACAAAACAGAACTGGAAGACAATAGATGACAAAGGAGAACTGGAAGGAAATAGATGATATAAGTAACCTGAACATGTCAGGACACTTAAGAAAACAAATTAGTCCCCCTGCTCCTGTTTTTTTTAATGCAATAATTCTATTCTATCATATTGTTCAAAAATTTTGCTGTAAATATTGATGTTAAAAATAGGGACCACTCAAAACTTCAAGAGTGAGGGACTGACATGAAATGAGTGAGACTTTCTACAAACAGTGCAGCACATTTTGTCCATGAGTGGGTCATCTTGTCCCAGTTTAGCCCAGCAAAAAGGCATATTGTGGCTAATCTTCTTCATGTTCAGCTGTGGCTTAGAAGAGTCGACCTTTGTACAATATGAACCAGTCATTTCTCCTGAGTGTATCAAGAAGGCATAGAAAATTTCATGCTAAAATCTTGTTTTGTTGTTGAGCCAGCCTGAAAATTTATTTTCCACTTTATATAATATGTGTGGTTATGTCTGTTGGTGTAATTTTAATTCAATTGTACAAATCTTGTGTGTACATTTAATTATAGAAATCTTGTGTGTACATTTTAGTTATACAAATCTTGTGTGAACATTTTAGTTATACAAATCTTGTGTGTACATTTTAATTATACAAATCTTGTGTGTACATTATCTCCCAGTACATCCAAAAAAAATAAGAAATGCTTAGTTACGGTACTACCTATTTTTTAATGTGCCACTTGTTCTTTTGATAAATTTTGCAGTGATGTTTATGTTAAATATTTAATTTTATCCAACAGGAACTGTCGTGATCGTCCGGGCCTGTGTTCTGACCCCCTAGGAGTGGTGCCGCTTGCTGCCGACACTGACCTGCACAACCACTGCACCTTCCCTCCCCACAACCATGGTGGTGCTTCGGTCGTAGTTCATATGTGGCAATTGCAGGAAGGGAATTATTTGGCTGTTGATGGATTAGATTTATAAAAATCATGGTGATAATTGTATGTGAAAATTGGTCACTACAAAAACCATTATAGCTCTCACATGAGAGTACGTTTCCAATCCATGATGGTATGGAGTAATGCCAATCTCACAACTTGTTCATAACTAAACCTCTCCTTCAATTATTGTTATCTGTAAATCCTATTGTATTGTTCTGTATACGACACCAAATATTAGTGAAAACCTTTTTCCTTGACACTTCATTTAGGAAGCCATATTCCATGTCTGGGGCAATTGTTTAAACAAATTATTAGACTGTCACTGCGGTAGGTACTCATAAAAAATCATGGTTATGTGATAGTTTTAATAATGAACTGCTATCACCTTGAATATTTGTATAAAAATGTAGCTTGTCATTAGTGATTTAAATATCTTATTTGATTAAATTTTAAACTCTGCAAAATTTATTTTTGTTCAAGAACAAATTAGCAAAAATTAAATGGATAATAAGAAAAAGAATTTTTTTTCTCTTGCTATCATAAATAACAAAGAATTTTTTTTCTTGTGTGAATAGGAATAAAAAAAATCTTTTTCAGGTTATCATAATAACAAAAGAATTATTTTGTAAAGTAAACAAAAATAACAGGAATTTTTATCTTAGGTGAGCGGAAGAAGTCAGGGAAGGAGGACCCGGGGGGTGTTGTGTGTCAAGGGGCACCGCGGGGGCCTCCGTCCCCCATCTTCGCAAGGGGTCAGAGCTACAGCATCGACGTCGAGCTCGTCCTGCCTGACTCCCCCGCCAACAGGGACGTGGGCATGTTTATGGTGCAGGTGATATGGGCATGTTTATGGTGCAGGTGATGACATGTTTATGGTGCAGGTAATGTGGACCTGTTTATGGTGCAATATATACCAATATATTTATAGGTTCCGGTTAGAAAATTAATTACATTTATCTTCTATTTTAATTTAATTTGGAATTACGCAATTTGTCCGGAAAATAAAACTGTTCGGCAACCCTGATAACAAATGTCATATTAGGACAGTGGCATTCTAATTTTTTTCCATATTTACCTTAAAAATAATTAGTAATTAAATAATTCCAAGATTTACCTTAAAAATAATTTATAATAAAATAATTCTAATATTTATTTACTTTGAAAACACAATTATAAATAATAATTCCTTCATTTGCCTTAATAATATTTAATAATTAAATAAATCCAATAGTATTTATTTACCTTAAAAATAATTAATAATAAAAAAGTCCTATATTCAACCTAATAATAGTTAATAATTAAAGAATTCCAATATATAACTTAATAATAATTAAACCCAACTTTTCAATTATTTTCAATTATATCTAGTGTGACGTTGGTGATAGTTATATATTATAGTATAGTTATATATTTCCAATACCGTATATAACTTAATAATAATTTATGTTAACTTGTCAATAATTATCAATTATTGGCCGTGCAGGTATCACTGCTAGACAGCAAGTCAGGCGCTGTCAGCAGCAGGCGTCGTCCTGTGCTGACGCCCTACAGGTCAGCCCTGCAGCGACATGTTTATGGTGCAGGTGATGTGGGCATGTTTATGGTGCAGGTGATGTGGGCATGTTTATGGTGCAGGTGATGTGGGCATGTTTATGGTGCAGGAGATGACATGTTTATGGTGCAGGTTCAACAGACAGTAAAGACTTCGATAAATTCTCAGCTTTTCTCATGATCAAATTTCTTCTTAAAATTTTTTAACAGCTTTTCAGCGGTTCAGAGAGTTTGACGGGTTATATGATGAATTTATCATGCGATTTATTCATTTATAATGAGTTTTGAATGTATGATTCGTATTATTGAGAGATTTTATCAATCGTTATAGGGAATGCACAAGCATGTTTCCTGCTTCCACTGTGAACAACCTCTCGCGCTTGTTTCAGGCGCCAGCCTCAGCAGGTAACCAGCACGCTGGCAACCGGCTTTCACTGTGTACGTACCCTTACGGTCGATGCCGTAGCTTATTCCTCTGTATCGCAATCTGTATTACCACCCGTATACAAGATACGTTATCTGGACTTATGTGTCTTACTTATCCCCCACTACCTTAGTCAAAGAAACCCGATCCTCAGGTAGAGCTTAATATAATGAGTTCAATGTCTTGAGAGCAACCTCGGAAAGAATCGTGTTTTTTTTTCTCGAACATCCAAACTTGCCAACCCTGGAAATTGATTTGAATTGCTAAAATTGCTAAACTAAAAAGTAGAAAATAAAAAAATATGAAAATCATTTTCAAAAAACACGTTTTTCTGGTTTCTACAAAACTAAAAATAATGAAATAAAACAAATAAAAAATTTTTAAAAACCATGTTTTTTAACGAACAAAAAAGAAACACATTTACTCCTACATAACATTACATAACATTATACATAACTTAAATCTTATGTAGGAGTAAATGTTTTTCCTTTTTGTCCGTTAGGAAAACGTGGTTTTTAAACGTTTTTTATGTGTTTTATTTCATTATTTTTAGATTTGTAAAAACCAGAAAACGTGGTTTTAAAAAACGATTTTTTATATTTATTTATTTATCATGAACATATCCTAGTCATTATATTTTTGAATGCAATATAGTGTTACCGCTAGTTAAAGTGGTAGGAAAGGGGTCGATTAATTAGCACATTGGTTTCTTGTAATTAAAGTTCAAAGTAGTTTTTGAGTGACAAAATAAATGACCAGGCACGAACATCATATTGTATTGGAATTTTAGTAAAGGAAGCTTCTCTTGAGAACCTTGCTGACATTTTTAGCTCAACAAGTGAGCCAGCTTTTTGAAATATCATAGATGGCCCGTCAACCCTAGAATTCCAGTCTGAATTTATTAGTCTCTTCTACAGTTATACCGATGCAGTGCAGAACTAAAAATATATTTTGAAACTAACTTAACTTGGTTGTTGTATTATGTTTATATTTTTAATTTGAACATAATGCACTTCGTCCGTTTTCAAGCATTAACGGTTGCGAGGAACTTAGACTTATCGATACAGCTACGATTCCTGAAATAACAATTAAAATTAACAAGTAAAGACCACGACTACGCTACGTTTATGTTATTCAATTTCGAGACAACCCAAGAAGCAACCAGAAGCGTAGGGAAGAAAGTGCCAGCAACCCATTCAGGTAGCGTAGAAAGTACGGTCGGACTCAGCAGCAGTACGGCCACGAGCTGGCAGCTAATTCACTAACGTGGAAACCTTCTCCAACATTTCGAACTACGGTCGTTGACAATTTACGGCCAAGCGGAACTTGAGATATCTTTCGAGATTACGGCTACTGAATTACAACAGCGGGTCGGCTATACGTATACTTGGAACATCTTTACCGCAGAAGACCGTAGTGATCGATACGGTCACGGCATTGCAACCGTACCACTACGGACCAACACACTACTATAGGCAACGTTTCCCGGTAAAGTAAAGTAAAGTAAGTATGAACAGCGGTTAGAGATTTGCAATTGAAGACTTGTTGATTCAATGCTTTGATTAAGAATTAAAAGTGTGGTTACATTAAGGATAAAATGTCGAATTCTGAACTTACTCGCATATCTTATTGTTGTAAAATTTTTGTAACGTAGGATGTGCCTTGATTTTCGCTATTTTCATTCTAAACGTAAAAGTGTTTCATTTTGACCCTCGTGTACGTTTTGCCCTGATAAATTCCTGTAGAGAAACCGAGCCTTAAAAAGAACGCGCCTTAATTATTGGCCGTCTCGAGCTAGACACGCTACCGATATGAATGATTCTTCAATGCACTAGGAGTGTGAAGTAATTCAGTAATATAAAAATAAATAGCCATGAATAAAACTTAATTCATATAGGCTCGTGTATGAGGCTAATATAATGAGGCTCGCATATGAGCCTCGCGTATGAGGCTCGCATATCAGGCTCGCTTATGAGGTTCACACATGAGGCTCATACTAGAGGCTCACATATCAGGCTCGAAAAAGGCTCAAATCACATATGAGGCTCCCACATGCGGCTGAAAAACTTACCAGTCTCGATTAAGATGTAGCAAACTTCGCTTATCTATCCATAGATGTGCGGAAGTCCATCTATTTTAGGTAAAGTATGAACTCAGTAATATTTCCTAATAATAGGTTCATGAATTTTCCTTTTAGCAATATTTCTCGTGCACTGCAGTATTTCTCGTGCACTGCAGTATTTCTCGTGCACTGCAGTATTAGTATTTCTCGTTCGGTGCAGTATTTCTCGTGCACTGCAGTATTTCTCATGCAGTGTAGTATTTCTCGTGCAGTGCAGTATTTCTCGTTCGGTGCCGTATTTCTCGTTCGGTGCAGTATTTCTCGTGCACTGCAGTATTTCTCGTGCACTGCAGTATTTCTCGTGCACTGCAATATTTCTCGTGCACTGCAGTATTTCTCGTGTACTACAGTATTTTTCGTGCAGCAGTTGATTATCTTCTGCATTTATCAGCATGCAGTGGACATCAGATTATATTGGTTGTTGAAGACTTCTACCGAATTATCGGTGGCTTGCGAGTGGCCAATGTTCAGTTATTCTCTAATCCATCGCTACTTTCGTCTATGAAAGTTCATTCGCTGCGCCCAACTTTTGTGATATCTGATGATAAAAAGCCTAGAACATGAAGCTAAACTTTGTGTTCTCATCAGAATTAGTGTCAGAGTTTTGGGCACCACGACGATCCAGCCCCCCAAATTAAGCGAAGTGCAAAAAGGTTTCGAACATTACCTGCACTGTAATTTGTTTGACGACTTCACAGGAGCGGTCATCGTCAATGGTGACACAATTGTTGCTCTTTGGTTGCTTATCAACCAACTTATTACTTTATAGCGTGGATTCAGAGCCTTACCAGACGCCACTCAGATTGAACGGGTCATATACAGCGCCACCACCTTGATGTTGGGCGAATTGATTTTGTTAGATACATTTTTTCTTTTGAATTTTAATTACATTAATAATTTTGCTCTCACTTAAGTCTTCAGACGAATGAGTTGATTTGTTAGAAATTTTTTGTCGCCAGAAGCATTATTTTTGATAATCAGTTCTCGCGTCAAGGTCAAATAAGGTAAATTAGTTGTGGGGTCAAGTTGCTGTGTAGGCAGGGCAGTTGTGGGGTCAAGTTGTTGTGTAGGCAGGGCAGTTGTGGGGTCAAGTTGTTGTGTAGGCAGGGCAGTTGTGGGGTCAAGTTGTTGTGTAGGCAGGGCAGTTGTGCGGTCAAGTTGTTGCGTAGGCAGGGCAGTTTTAGTTACCGAGCAGTAGGCTCGGTAACTGAAATTCTGTCCATCCAATCTATTTGTTTACAGAGGCATTGCATGCATTTATCATCAATCATCATTGGAATGCTGAGGAGGCCGCGGCTGTTCATGATGCTGCTGTCCGTGCTGCACGGAACCGGCGTAGCATCAACGGGCTCATCCCGGTACCGCGTGCACCCCCAGGCAGGGTTCGGTATCGCTGATCCCGCGGCAAAGGTGCACTATATATCGTTTGAGATACAGGTAAGGTTATTAAGTTTAATTTGGGTTATTAAGTTCAATTACTTAGTTTTTTTACTGTAGTCAATTTCAAAACAAACACAAATTTATCGGTTCCAATGCTGATCAAGTCGCTTGATTCCACAGTAAAATTGACAGCTTTATTGTAAATATTGGTGGTTTTTCCGCTTTGGGAGAGAAACGCGGGTTTGTTGTTGCACATTAATGACCAATATAGTAATGTTGAGCATCTCCAACATTGATAACCCGGGTTAGATATTCAAATTATTTAAAAAAATTTGTTTCCATAATATCTATTTGTTTCGTTACAGTCCTTTTCATGGCCCAATCTTGAGAAAACTAGGATATATAGGTAGTACATATCCCGTCATATATCAATATATTAATTAACGACGTTAATTTATCCAAGGTAGTAAATTATCGGTTAATTTAAAACATTTACAATAGTACAGAGAATCTTGTACTGGTTGCAACAGAGTATCTCATTATTAATTAAGACGTATAGTATTCAATTATCACTTCATCGGTCAATACAGAACCATCGATTATGAATAAATATGTAGTATCTCGTTATTAATTTAATACGGCGTAGCCCACTATAAACCAATACATATGATAATTCATTATTTCTCACTTCAAATAATTACTTACTGCACTAAAACGAGTTAACTTCTTGCAGTGTGCTCAGCTGTGCTCGATTTCTGGCTCATCTGTTTACTCCGTCACTGAAGAAAACACAGGAAAAGTGAGATGCAGAATTGCATCGTCTGGCTTCCGAGCTGAGAACCTCACCGCCGGCGCCGCTGCTGCAGGAGAAACAACCTACGTCGATGTGAGTCATAAACATCATACAGAAGCCGGGGAATAACATCATTTGCGGTCTTGTTTGTGAAGTAGTTGTTAGTGACAGAGTGATATTAGAGTGGCTCGGAAAAGTCCTGAAACTTTTACAGTTTGTACCTTCTGAATAATATCTCCGTGTACAGGGATAAAAGAAATTGTGGGAAATTTACTGGAGCATGTAAAAGATTTGCTTGATAAACAAATGGCTTCTAAATTTATCTAATTTATTTATATTATCAAACAACTGTGTATTGATGAAAGTTTTTGAGATGACGCGAGGGTAAATGAGTTTCTATTCCATTTATTTATCTTATTATTCAATATTTATTTCTTATGTATTGCAAAGGTATTTTTATTTCGATTGAAGAATTAATTCATTGTTTATTTAACCTATATTTACTAATTATTACCTTGACTATCGTCAAAACTTTTAAACTTTGGAAACCCCCGGGAAACTTTGCTCGAATTTATCAACAGAGACCATGGATAAAACTAGTAAAAATGTCTTCAACTCACAAGTAAATCGATTGCTTTTTTTAAAGAAACGTATGGATTTTTTGCGGTGACTTCAATCAAGAACTTTAAACAATTCCATGAAGTGTTTTCTATTGGTCATGGATGGGAACTTGCGAAGTATCGTAAATAACGAGTTTTTTAATTTACGTTTTTATTATATAACAACTTTCCCTATAACTTGTCCTCATCGCTTAGGGAGTTTATACGTCACGTTCACATCAAATTCTTTAGTCATCACCATCCTATATATACCAATCCTCACAGCAGCAAGTACTTACGTTGTCATATGTATTATTATATTTTCTTTATTAATAACTTGTCATATTTAACTCAACTTCCATTGCCATTGAGTAGTTAATAAAATACCTTAGGTACAGTTAATTTTATTTCCTATCTAAGATTTTTCGTAAAAATCTCACATTCGCCCATTCCTCGCAATGTGTGGGCAATGACTGACACGTATCCAACAAACTATTCAATAACGACACTTCGTAAAGATCAATACAAAGCCAAGACTCGCAGCCACTAACGGCCGCTGCGTTGACTCTGTATATCGACAAACGCTATCTGGTGGTTTGTGAATAATCAGTATCAATCACCAATCTATTACTCTAAATCACCAATGTTACCCCTCCTCGACAGAGTGCGACGTTGAATCTACTTTCAATGTTTAAATCAACATAAAATCCTCAAAAAGAGGGCTCCAATGCAAAGTTAGGTAAATATCAAATTATTGTTCAAATTTCGAGACGGAATTGAGTCCAAAAATAATTACATAGGTTAGTAATTGATTCAGTTCTCTACGGAGTCATGTATCATGCTACTTCTAATTCATTTAATTTTTACATTGAACTCAACCTTGCTCTTGTACAGCAACTTACCACGGCTACTGAACAGGCACTTACCACTGCTACTGAACAGGAACTTACCACTGCTACTGAACAGGAACTTACCACTGCTACTGAACAGGCACTTACCACTGCTACTGAACAGGCACTTACCACTGCTACTGAACAGCAACTCACCACCGCTGCAACAACTGAAGGTGAGCAATATTTACCGGAAAGAAAATGAAATCCTTTTAGCATTTATTCATTTAAAATGAATTCCTGGTGGCTTTTGGTGCTTTACAACGCTCAAGCGCGCAATAATTTGTTCTATAATGCATATTTTTGCGAAACATTTCATAGTGACAACTGTTATATAATAATTCAATGGCTACATTACACATAGAATGGGTATGTAAAATCTAATCGCTCTAATTTCTTATCAATTAAACATGCACAAGTCCCTCTTGATGAATATTTCTGATTATATGTCAGAAACAAGGCTCGTTATTTCCCTAATTGAAGTCGGCTAATTCATTGTACTGACAAATTTGAAATTACTCTCTTATAAGTTCAGCTTCAATAATAATGATATATAACGTGTATCTCTACGAGTTTCGATTCCGTTTTTATTTAAAAATCTGGCATTCTTTTCCCCCACTCGTGTTCTATAATCTTTTTTTATATTATCATTTCGTAGCCCATATTAAGGGGGAGGGGGTATACCCTAAAATTTTTGGATTTCGCTTTTCCGGTTTTTAGTCTCATCTTAAAGCTGACATTCTACCTTATCTAATGGTACCATTGCCATCTCTGCACGTTGATTTATGCTTTCACGACAGATCATGAAAGGGGGGTGGGTGGGAGAGTTCTTCAAGTAATTAGATAGGAGTTAATTAGCTGCTGAGCACTCCAAACAAAGTGTCTACTTGAGTTGCTCTTCAGTTACCCGTTTAGTCTCATTTTAAAGCTGGCATTCTGCCTATCCAACGTGGTACCATTGCCGTCTCTGTACGTTGATTTATGCGTTCACGACAGATCATGAAAGGGGGGCGGGGGGAGTTCTTTAAGAAATTAGATAGGAGCTAATTCGCTGCCCAGCACTATAAATACGGTGTTTGCTTGAGGTGCAGCTCAGAAACCCGCCTGGTGTTGTCTGAGGAAGTGCGCATGTAGTCGCTCCCACCATCCTCGAGTGAAATCAAGCTCCAGAAACGTTTAGTTTCGTATCCTTGCTGCATTGAGTGCCTATTGCGATGCGGGTGGGACTTTGTCGCGCTCTGCTGAACATTCACCCTTATTGTCACGGCAAACCTATCTCCTCCTAGAGTTTTGAAGCTACAGCGATGAGACATATACCATTCGATTCGTAAAGATCATACCTATCGAGTTATTGAGCCCCTTTTCAGATTTGTGCATAGTTTGGATTCAAAATGGAAATTTTGAATTGGGAAATTTGAAGAAAATGAGAAAAAAATGAGAAGAAAATTGAAAAATGCTTGTAAAAAAATTAAGGCAATATAAAAAAACTCGATAAATCGATAGGTATGGTCTTTACGCATCGAATGATATGCGTCTCGATGTTGTCGCTTGAAAACCCTAGGAGAAGATAGATTTCTACATTACCCCCTTTTTTTGTCCGTTTTCTATGAATTTCACGTTTTCTATAAATTTTTCCAAAAAAACGAACAAAATGTTTTTGTATTTTGATTTGACATATATGTGTGAAGTTTCAGGAAGATCCATTAGTAAATGTGGAAGTTTTTCTGGAGGGTATACCCCTCCCTTAAACGAGATTCATATTTTGCCGTGATACATTCCAATGCTCTATAACGTTTATATCAATCTCAAGTGAAATAATATCTAGTGATGATATTCCTTATAATATTCAGTGCTTAATTCAAGTTTTTCTTCATAAAAAGGACCGTGTCTTACTGCTGCTGATATCGACTGCTCTACTGTGGAGAAAGACACTTTCTTCTACCATCCGACCGACTGCACTAAGTACCTGCGATGTGAAAGGAGGACCGAAATACTGAGCACAAATTCATGCGAAACTGGCCTCTTCTTTGATTTGGACCTTGAAGAATGTGTTACGCCAAAGCCTGCGAAATGTTCCTGCCAGACGTCCATCTAATATAACAGGGGTTGAGAAACCCTTTTACTCGTCGATCACTTTTAGGATATTTAAATTTGAATCTACCTCTTTTTTGCACACACAGATTCAAGTACTCTAAAACTAAACTTCATTCATTGTTTACGATGAACCAAAAATGAATGTTACTAACCTAAACATTCCTCCTACCACTTCATATATGGGTCCTAAACTAAAGATAGTAATCTAACACTCTTAAACTCTACATTCAAAGAGACTAGAATACATTCATATTCAGAAATGAATTTTCATCCAAAAACATGAACTAAAGTATGGATCATTGTTGGATTTATTATTCGTTTCTTGATTGATTTTCATTGTTTTCCTCAATCAATCATCGAGTCTAGTCTCGCCATTCTCCTCCTATCTCTTTCAGCCTCAACATTCTCTCCAAATATCTCTTAAAAAGGTTCAATGACACCAAGTCAATAACACTCTGACAGACACAGTCACTATCTCTTCCATACCTAATATATCATTCGCCACCTCAAGATGGTAACATACACCCAGGTAGCACATACTATCACTACATATTGGATTACCATCCGGTGTCGCTTCCACTGAGCGACTGTGCATGGATTTACAACATTCCAGCATAATTATTGATGAAAGACAAATATACAACTCCTATAGTAATGAGAAAGTATTTCACAAATACTTTTACAATACTTTCACGAAGAACTATCAAATTGGAAGAAAGATAAGTACTTTAAAAAGTGTTGATTGTTCATGAAGTCTTCGTGCATTTCCATTGACTCTTCTTGAATCTTATTTTGCTGCCTCCTGCTACTATCTCGACGAATTTTCTAGCCCATAGTTTCTAAGGAGGCTGATGCTGGCACCTTTGATTACTATATTCCCTTAATGCCATGCACGATCGATGCAATATAACATTTATAACGATTGTATATTGCCTCTTTTTCATCACAGCCGTGGCATCAGCCACATCCACAGCACCACCTTCAGCTACTTTCGCAGCATTATCCTAAAATAATTCTTGATAAAAAAAATTTGGTCTCATCGTGTCTTGTGCACCTTGGCTTGAAACGTATTTCTATGCCCAAGTGATGTGTATTTGACTTAACTACACTCACTCGAGTTTATCATTTTACTCAATGGTTCACTTATTGCATTTGGAGAAATTCTGTGCGTTGGACAAACACGCAGCACATCTTGACTTTTATAGCAATCGCAATAATATCGTCCGTCTGTTGACTTGAAAAGATCTGAAATGTGTACTTGACAACACGGCATTTTTTTAATGAGTTATTATAATATGTTTATACCTACTTGCTTTCTTGTGAACCGACTTTTCACCTTTCTTAATGAAGCGACTTTTCACCTTAGAGGCTTAGACATATGAATAAGTCTTGACTAAATTGTCAATTAAAAAGTTTTGAATAAAATTCTCACAAATTGCAAGGAAAAATCTGAGCCAACTATAACCTCTCACTTCATCTTTTTGCACGTTAACTCAACATTATTTCTATATTTTTAGTGTGTCTAAATAGAACATCCTTGAATTATCACATTGTATTATAGCCGTAACTATATATTATCACAGTATATTATAATATAACTATATATTATCACAATATCGTATAGCTATAACTATATATTATCACAGTATATTATAACCATAACTATATATCATCACAATATTTTATAGTCATAACTATATATTATCACAATATATTATAACAACAGCTATATATTATCACAGTATATTACAGCCATAACTATACATTATCACAATATATTATAGCCATAATTACTCTAGTAATGATATCATAAATTTGCTTAAACATAAAATTAAACAATAATATAGACACAAAGAAAATGTTAGGTAAATCAATCAAATCTTCATTGAAAGATTACTGGAGACCAGCATCATCAAGATGATGAATATGATTGAATGACAGTTTATTACTTTCAAATCATTGGTACAATTGCACTAGTAACCTAATGATGATATTAATGGTAATTTTGAGTGTTGGTTCACAAGTCCAAGCAACATGTTTAAAAAGGTTTTTATCTACGGCAACAAATTGCACCATATACAAAATTTAAGAGCTTTTCTTATCAGTAATTATATTCTAGGCCTGGAATATAGTCTATTCATGACTGGAAAATAAACTATTTCAGAAATTTCATCTGTTTAGTATATCTAGTTTTCTATGATAAGGTTGATTATGTCTATAATGCACAGCTTCAATTTTGTTAAAATTTTAATGTGTGACTTATTATTACAGTTTGAATTATTCACTATAATTGTAGTTATTAGCATGTCTTCAAAAATCAGAACTAATTGTGACATTGTGTCACTGAAAGGAGAAAAAGATGTACTTCTTTTCTTGTAGAATGAAGCGAAAAAGCAAGTTAATGCTCCTAATTAAGGAGCATTACTTTTAGAATCCTATAATGTTGTTCTAAAGAATCCCACATCCAGCACGCCTCCTATTGTAATAGTTAATATTTACATATACGTGTAGTTGTATCTGTGTTACGTCATTTTATCCTCCGTGCTTTTCCAAAATTATGTTTTGCATATATCCTCACTTATGCTTCATTTGCATTAAATATTTAGTACATATATAGTATTTATATTGAATATTTAGTAGTTAATAATGACGCTGGTCTCACAATCAATTTTGCTTAAACATGTTCAGATTTAGTGAGATATTTTATTGCCATCACAAATATTTGGGTTAGATTTCATTCTGCAATAGCAACGAGTTTACTCCTGGCAGTAGCAGCCTCGAATCAAATAAATTTCAATACTTTTTCACCGGAAGAAGCAACAGAGTCAACCTCCAGCTTCTGCAACTCGAACGACTGCACGAAATGTCTGCTGTTTTTTATTCATGTCGTTACATTGATCCTATAAATTTAATTGTATATAAATTTAATTGTTAGTTTTTAATTATTTATGGTACGCTTAACTAGGTTTTCATGACGTAAACCCTGCCGGTCACAATTACTAATATTACACCGTTGTGAGTTGACAAGCATCGCCAGTACCTAGCCCTTCAGTCTCTGGCATTACCTGAATTTGAACCTGCAAATGTTTTTGCAAATGTTTTGCAAATGTTAGTTTTTTCAACATTTAACATTTACAAGATGTCTAACATATCCCGGGTCCTTTGTTATGAATTATATTGCTTCTTTTAATTTATGCATTTCAATATTATGCGTGATTGTAGCATTTACTCTATTGTCATAGCTATGCGTGATATATATTACAGCATTACTGGGTAACAACTACAGCCTCGTCAGAATTAGTATCTGACTAACCAGCATTAAAGTTTTCAGCAACCATTTGAAGTGACGACAAATTTACGCTAACGTTTCAACTGTTACATGCGTTGAAGTAAGATATACGAGTATTTGTTGTTCATCTTTAGACGGTCAGTTCACAAATTATCAACGATTTTTATGGTGATAGGCATAAACCAAAAGGAGGGTGAGCCGGACATACGATGAACGATAGGTCAACGGTCAAATTGAAATCGCAGCATAGGTTTTAATGAACTGACAGTATTTATTGTGGCAAGGTTAATAGATTGTGAATTGATTAGCGAGTGAAAATTCATTTTTGCATCCTTAAATTATGAAACGGTAATTAAATTGAACATTTTTTAGAAACTTGAAATTTATTAACATCTGTTGAAATAACGTGAGTTTTTTCACTAATTCAGAAATTTTTGCACTCGTATAACTCTAAATAAATATCTATGCACAACCTAGTTAATCTTACTTATTATCCCTGAATAACTTTAAAACTAATAACTATTTCGTTCGTGTTCAGGGAAATCAGTAGTTTATGTGAGTGGTAGCTTTTAATTACCCTTACCATGGAAAAGATTTGCCATATGGCAATTCATGCTTTCAAAAAACCTCCTTCCTCAAAGGTTTAAACATCGGTAATTACAGCAAGCGAAGCATAAGTTGATTCTTAAATACAATAGCTGATATGATAAAACGAATTTTACTTTCACTTCATTTTACAAAGTGAATTTTACTTCTATAATTTTTCTATTAGAGAGTTGTACACTGAAATGTGACGCAAATAAAATTTCTCTCATAATTATTTATTAATACGAGCATTAAAGATATTTCAACAAATTTTTCCAAAAGATTAAAATCGACAAGAAATGGGAAGTTCAGGCCCTGTTTTTATAAACAAGGGCATAATTTGGCATTAGTAAATCTAACAACTTACTTGGGCCACTGGCCGATGTAGGCAGGGCAGTTGTGGGGTAAAGTTGTTGTGTAGGCAGGATTCCTTGCATTTCCTTTCTATGTCTCTGGCTCTAACGGCCGACGCCTTGTGTCACGACTGATAAACCATTGTAAGAAACTCCCCCGCTGTACTATTTCTGCTGGCACCGTAAGAATTGAATGTTGATATGCGAGTAATAATTTTTATCATTATTTCTCCGCAGAAAATACTCTCCCAAAGACTGGAAATGTCAAAAACAATGCTGAAGCTGCACCTGCTGCTGACCGTGCTGCACGGTCTGGTAACAAGTACCTACCGGTACAAGATACTCCCCAACCCAGCGGCCGGTTTCAACGATCCCGAAGCTTTGGTATATAACACAGAGACGGCCACACAGGTAAAATTGCTATGTTTGGCATTACTTGAAAATGTTAGCAACGCGTGGAAGTTCAAATTAAGTTGATTTTGCTTTAAGTAGAATTTCTATTCGCTGGTCTATTTTAATTTGTGCAATAAAATCATAAATTGTAGTTCCAGACAAATTCTTCGTGAACTCTAAATTCTCTTGCCCAATGTATGTTTGCAGACCATATACCTCCAGAATTTCGTCTTAATTGGGACCCAGAATAGGCTTATTCGCTGGCGAAAAAATTAGAAGTAATGGCGAATATGATAAATTGAATATATGAAAAATGGTCTAATTTCGGAGTGCTTGAGAAATTGCAGTGAATAAAGGTAATAATTAGTGTAAAACAATTTCGTATCCTTGTCGACTGACGAGTTATTTCATCGAGATCTATTGCAGTCAGATCAAGCAGAAAGTTAAATTTGTTGCGAACACCGGGATTGTGAACTGAGATCGAGTAGAACGTACATAACAACCCAAGACTCAACAACTTGCGCCCAACCAAATTTAATATGAACATGAATCGCATGGTTAACTTAAAATGCGCGTTACAATATTAAATAGAAACTGCTGAATAATTGTAACCGAAGCATATGTTAACAAATAATTACCGAACCATTCTCTCCTATATAATTAAAGTGAAGAATTTTACCAGACAATTTCCTTGTCATTGCTTTCGAATATTCACCACTGCATAAATTACTGCATCGTAGGTTACCAAGTAGATACCGCAACTAAGGTTAACATAACGTAATAATATTGGGTACAAAATATATTTAAAGTTATCTTAGTTACAATGAAGCGAAAGCATGGTGAGATTTATGCCTCTTATTTACTTCTAGTGGTGATACCAAAGTTCAGTGTGTCATCACGGCTAGACTTTCATGAAAGTTTATTCGTATAAAGAACGAACTTATTTTACCCAGAAATCTATAATATTTGATATAGCACACAAATGCGCACTCTCTGTATACTAATTAAAAGTGTTCTATGTATATTATTCAGCTTGCAGGTGAATACTGTTCTAAAGTTTCTTACTGAGAGTAAAACTGCATGCGTAGTATGACCTTATGACCTTATGATGAGTTTAGGACGTCGTAGTCCACGGTCACGCTGATGCGCCGCCTTCGTCGTCCTCCGTCTCCGAGTCGTCGTCGGATGTAACGTTGGAAGTGTTCCGTCTATTTGCCCTCCTTTGGGCACGCTGATGCAAGATGCAGTTGCTTGTCGCTTGCTGATGGTAGTTTCCCATTCCTGAACAGTCTGGGATCTTTCTCAACCACTTGTCCAGTCGTCTCTTGGATGTTGCAAGGGTGAACTCCCCTCCTCTCAGCGCTTTTGGTAAGACATTAAAGAGCCTTGGTCCTACCACGGACAGTGATCCCTCACGAAGAGTCTGTACTCTGGCCGCGGCTCGGCTATCA